CACCCCCGAATTCGGACGTAATAATTCACATAGATATAGTAAGTCTCGCTTGGACTGCTTTAATGCTCCTCCTCGAAGGTGGCGTCTAGATTCTTCCGTCGCAAGTAATTTTTGAAAAATTCAAATTCAAATTCATAAAGAGATAGGAGGACAAAATCTCACAAAAAAAAAAAAAAAAAAAAAGATAGGGGGACATAATTCACATTGGATGTAATAAATCTCGTTTGGACTACTTTAATGGTAATCCTTACATTTTCGTCCTCACTCCCTCTCTCCCCGTGTGTGGGAGAAGGGAAGTGGACTTTGGGAGTACGAGTTAAGTTAAGAAGTGAAATTGTATCAATTTTTTCCAGGTGGTGATCGCGGTGGTGTTGGGGATCAAGGTGACGGACCACTCGGACAACCTCGGGAAGGGGTTCGCGATCCTCGTCGTGATCATGGTGTGCACGTTCGTGTCGGCATTCGCGTGGTCGTGGGGCCCGCTGGGGTGGCTGATTCCGAGCGAGACTTTCCCGATGGAGACGAGGTCGGCGGGGCAGAGCGTGACGGTGTGCGTGAACTTGTTGTTCACGTTCGTGATCGCGCAGGCGTTTCTGTCGATGTTGTGTCATTTCAAGTTCGGGATCTTCCTGTTTTTCTCCGGGTGGGTGGCGGTGATGTCGGTGTTCGTGTTGTTTCTGGTGCCGGAGACGAAGAACGTGCCGATTGAGGAGATGACGGAGAAGGTTTGGGCGCAGCATTGGCTGTGGAAGAGGTTTGTGGAGGGGGAGGAGGGTGACGTGGAGATGAAGGGGGTCAACGGGAAGGGTCGTGGTAATGGGGTTGACTCTTCTTCTTAGTTTGTGTTGTTTAGAGAGAGTGGGAGAGAGAGAGAGAAAGAAAGAATAACTACAGATTGGAGGGGAATATGTGTACTTATGGAGATGGTAATGGTATTGTTGGTAATATATAAAAGGCTCTTCAATTATTATCATGTGTAATCTATACATTTGACCAAAGTGGAAAACCAAGCAAGTACAGTAATACATATGTGGAATGGTAGAGTTTGGTTAGCTTTTCAGTGAGTTGAGTGGGCTCTATGTAATTGGGCCAAAGCTTGCACTGAGTCGAGTGGGCTCTAAGTAATTGGGCCGAAGCTTGACCATTTCCTTCCAACTGACTAAAAAAATGTTAGGAATAAAAAACGTGGTCGGCAGGATTCGAACCTGCGCGGGCAAAGCCCACATGATTTCTAGTCATGCCCGATAACCACTCCGGCACGACCACTTGTTGTTGTAGTTTTATGTTTTGTTGTTTTAATATCAATTACATGATGAGATCCTTGGCTTGCCTTTTATCCACTAGTTTGTTTACTGTTGATGGGCTCGGGGCTAGGAAGCCCATAGCGGAACTCACCATTCAATCGCTATTTTTTCTTCATTAATCCCGTTAACCTAAAATCCTAACTTCATTCCTGCCATAAACCATATTAATTTTATGATAGAAAGGAAGGCAACGATCGTATACTTTTTAAGTTGGTGGATCACACCTGCAATGGATGATTAACTCGGCAATATTAAGGTTTAAGGTTTCCTTGCTAGCTACACCTATAGTGATAAGTGAATAAATGATAAATGAGCATACGTATGGGGAACGGATGATGCTAATTATGGTTTTCTACCGCAATATATATATAGTGACCAATCAACTTTGCTAAAATATTCATGGGATGATTGAGAGAAGGTACTCCCAGTATTTCATGATTTTGTCGGATATAAAACGAACACCTCACAATCGTCGGATAAATGCAATGACATTTTATTTACAAAAAGGTAATAATTGCGTTCATCCGACTACTGCAAAGCATTCAATCTCAATTTAACTGCAATAAAATGCTATGTGCACCTTCTTACAGATGCCCTGTGAGCACCATGATCGAGTTGAAGGCCAACAAGACAAGTATTAGTAACGTAACACATATTCAAGGATTTTGATAATCTAAAATTTTACCACACTCATTGGCATTTGGCGGGGAGCATCAAACAAATAGATCCCATTCCCATCCCACTAAATGATTCATTTATATATCTTTCCTTTCAAGTGTTACAAAATCTGCCCCTACTCTCTATACTTGCTGGCTGGCTGGCTGGCTGCACACCTAACCAACCAACCGCTGAGAGGCCAACCCACCACCATTTATTTGTTCTTACTCTTTACTATTTACTCCCACCAATCCTAATTACCTAGTTCCTTTCATCCAATGGGTAAATAACTTCTTCTTTTTTCGTGAGAAACTATGATACAGGGACTGAGCATTGATAACTTGAATAATCGATTTTCGAGTAGGGATGGGCAATTTCCTACACAAATACAAAACATAGGTAAACCTTTCCTCCCCCAAATACAGAAACTTGTTGAGCAATTTGTGATAGATAATAGTTATTGTATTAAGGGTCGTAGGAGTGTTCAAACGGAATGGTTATTCTGGTTATCCTGGTAATCATTTTAATTAGTAGTATCCTAATAATTTGATTTGGTTAATTTTGATAGTCGATTTGGTTGAATTTTTTAGCTTGTTTGGTTTATATGGTTTCGGGGTTAATACTTAATTGGAAAGTTAGTCACTAAGATTACTGAAAACGTTCACTTTGGTCATTAGAAATATTTAATTTCATTCGTGGTCACTTTAATTAGTTAAATACTTTAAGTTTGGTCACTATTCGTCGAACTCCGTTAACTTTTGCTTACGTGGCAGTTAACTCTAAGAGTTGACCGTTAAATGTGTGACATGGCAATTAAAAATAATAAAATTAAAATTTTACAATTTTCCACTCCAACCCTCGATCATCACACCTGCTTAGAGGATGATCGATTAACTCGGCAATATTAAGGTTTAAGGTTTCCTTGCTAGCTAAACCTATAATAATAAGTGAATAGATGATAATCATGATGGTTGATGGAGATAGTTGCAAAAGCCCATATATCATTTATGATATTATCGCTTTTTCAACTTAATATTTAGATAATTTTTTGAGGAAAGGTAGGCAACAAGAGAATTAGAATATAGTCGTGTAAGTGTTAAGTTAAGACTAATTAGTCTTTGGTGATTTTTTAATAAAATTTTAATTTTTGAAACAATTAACTCGAGGGTGCAATTGAGTACATATAACCAAGAATTGAAAAATTGTACCGACAGTTCAACCAAGAAACCTCTTACTGGAAGCAAAATCGGTTGGTGGTGTTTAGCGACATGAAACGGTTGGACCATGATGTCAACATAAAATACCTCGTCGCTGACTTTTTCGATACAAGTTGTGGTACGTTTTTTCAATCCTTCATTTCTATTCTAAATGGGTTCCATTATTAAGTATATTTTTTTTCTTCTTGTTGAAATGGCAAGGGAAGAGGGTGCCATGGAACCCCCTTACTCAGTGTTAGCTCCGCCCCTGTCTACCACAATACATATATGGCTAGCGTAACTTGTCGTACGACTATACACATGCGTTCATATCTATTATATATAACTAAACTATTTATGTGATAAGTTCTCATAATATTTCGTGATCGTCAAATATAAAGCGAACACCTCAAAATTGTCAGATATATGTGATGTCATATATTTACAAAAACGTAATCGCGTTTATTTGATGACTGTGAAGCGTTCAATCCCAGTTCAACGACCACAAAACACTATGAGATCTTCTCACTGATGTCCTGTGTAAGCACCATAATCGGGTTGATGGCCAACAAGTCAAGTATTAGTAAGGTAACACAGAATTAAGAATTAGATAAACTAAAATTGTCTTGTGCTCTTGTTCTTTTCTTTTTGATGCAAATATCACCATTATAAAAAAAAAATTGTAGCTTATAGTAAACAATTGTCGTTTGTTGCGTAGTAAGTACCACACTCATTGGCAGGGAGCATTCCCATTCCCATCCCACTAATGATGCATTTATATATCTTTCCTTTCAAGTGTTACAAAATCTGCCCCTTACTCTCATACTTGCTGGCTGCACACCTACCCAACCAACTGCTGAGAGGCCAACCCACCACCATTTATTTTTTTCTTACTCTTTACTATTTACTCCCACCAGTCCTAATTAATTACCTAGTTCCTTTCAACCAATGGGTAATTCACCCTTTTTCCCCCTTGAGAAACTATGAGCATGTATGGCAAAAATATCCGTAACCGTGGATATCCGCCCGAATCCGACCTAATTGGGTAGGGTAAAAACCGAACCCGAAGGACTTTTAGTGGGTACGGGTAAAACTCGAACCCGAATATTACGGGTAATGGGTGGACATGGTTTTCTCACTATCCAACCCGAACCCGCCCGATTATACACATGCGTATGTATTTTGTCTAGAAATAATCAATATTTTTCTCTAACATATTTTATATTTAGCATATAAATATAAATTTTTATGAAATTGTGTTGTTTTTAATTAGTTTTCTTCATTCTAGTGAATTATTGTCGTACGTTTTGTCTTACATAACATGAGAAAACATGTGAATATTAACATATTGGTTAGAGTTATAAAGAGAAACTATTACTCATGGATAACCGTGGATACCCGAAACCCGAATGGGTATGGGCATGGTTTGGATTTTCTACCCATTTCTTATGTGTGTATGGGTTTGGGTAAAACTCGAACTACTTTGGATAGGGTAACGGATATGCACTATCCGTCCCCGACCCGACCCATTGCCATCCCTGTTAACAGATTTGGGGCAAACTGACAACAGCTTTATTGATAATCAAAGGTTTATATACACACTAAGGACTCTCTCACGTCTGCCACCAGTATCCCACTACCCCTTTTCCTGATTTTCAGCCACTAACCCAACTAACCTGAACAACTCTCCTAACTTGACTGCTAAGTAAATGGACTGGACTTCAATTGCAGCAACACAACTAACTAACAGGACCCAGTAAGACATGACTCTGGACGATAGACTCAATACGGCGCGCATCACTTGACACAATGCCTCTTATTCAAACGCAACAGCTATGACTGGTTACTTCTGGTTTGCTCCTCCAACTTCTAGCTTCAACATCCTCCCCTGAACTGAAGCCTGATAAGACTTCAGTTCATCTTCAACTTCACTCCTTTGTGCAACAACAACTTCAGCCATCTCTTTAACACCAAGCTTTCCTCGAAGAAACTCAAAAGTCTCATTCTTTACTGCCTTAGTCATGATGTCAGCAACTTGACTAGCAGTTCCACAATGCACTAAGTCCACTGTTCCCGCCTTAACCAAGTCCCTCAGGAAATGGAATCTGACGTCTATATGTTTACTTCTGCCATGTAGAACCGGATTTTTGGATAACTTAATTGCAGAGTTGTTATCGCAAAAGATCCGGGTTCCACCTTGCACGCTTGATCTCCACTCCATCTGCTCTAATATTCTTCTCAGCCATATGCACTGAGTGGCACAACCAGCTGCTGCTACAAACTCTGCTTCAGTGGTGGAAAGTGTGACCACAGGCTGTTTCTTTGAGGACCACGAGACAGCTCCTCCAGCAAGAAAGAAAACATACCCACTCGTGCTTTTCCTGTCATCCAAGTCACCAGCATAATCACTATCTGTGTACCCCACCAAACTCTCTTCTCCTTCTCCTTCTCCTGCTTTCTTGTACCAGATGCCATGAGTCAGTGTACCTTTCAAATACCTCAACACTCTCTTTGCAGCAAGCATGTGTTGCCTCATTGGAACTCCCATGTATCTACTCAATAAACAGACTGAGAACATTATGTCTGGTCGTGTGGCAGTGAGGTACAACAAGCTCCCAATGAGTTGTTTGTACTGAGTTGCATTTGCAGGCACCCCATCTCCTTCTGCAGATAACTTAGTTCCAGGAGCCAGTGGATTTTTGACCCAATTGCATTCCAGCAAGTTAAATCTGTTGAGAACTTCTCTAGCATACTTTTGTTGACACAAAAATATTCCTTCCTTGCTTTGATTTATCTCAACACCTAGGAAGTATCTCATCTTCCCCAGATCTGACATTTCAAACTCAGTTTGCATAGAGATTTTAAACTCTTCAAGCATGGATGCACTATTGCTGGTATACATAACATCATCAACATAAAGGCTTACCAGCAGTATATCTGTTCCCCTTCTTTTGATGAACAAAGTGTGCTCATATGAACACTTCTCAAAGCCAGCTTGCTCAAAATATCCCTCTATTCTGCTATACCAGGCCCTTGGAGCCTGTTTTAGGCCATAGAGTGCCTTCTTCAGCTTATAAACTTTGTTCTCTTCTCCAGGAATCACATATCCTTCAGGCTGAGTCACATACACATCTTCAGTCAAGGTGCCATGGAGGAAGGCACTCTTAACGTCTAAATGATATACTGTGAGTCCATGAAATGCAGCCAAAGCTAGAAATGACCTGATTGTATCCCACCTTGCCACCGGTGCAAACACCTCATTATAGTCGATACCATGCTGTTGGGCATAACCTTTCACCACAAGCCTAGCCTTTTCTTTATCCACCCTTCCTGCTTCATTTAGCTTGGTCTTGTAGACCCACTTCAGACCAATAGGGACAACTCCTGGTGGTAGTGTAGTTAGTTCCCAGGTACAGTTCTTCTCTATTGATCCCATTTCTTGATTCATAGCCTTTCTCCACTTCTCCTCCTTCACTGCTTCCTCAAAAGTCTGTGGATCTTCTGAGATGGCCATCATAACAGCCCAATCCACTTCCACACATCCCATCTCAAACCCATCAAAATGAGCAGGAAGTTTAGAAACCCTTGGAGTCAACTCTCCCTGGGGAAGACCAAGTACATCAGGTGCATCTTCTTCCTCTTCTTCTTCACTGGATTGAATAGTGGAACTAGGACCACCTTGATTAGAATTATCCTCCCCAGAAGATGCTCCTGGTGAACTGACAGTTTCAGTTTCTGCTGCATCAGTTTGATCTTCAGTGTCTGATTCCCACAACTCATCATCACTTCCTTCCCACATGATTTTAGTTAGGGCAGGAGTAATGTCTGAGTTCCAGGACCATCCAGCTTGTTGCTCATCAAACACCACATCTCTGCTTACAATAATCTTCTTGGCAGCTTGATCATATAATCTGTATCCTTTGGATTCAGGAGAGATCCCAAAGAACACACACTTATGACTCTTGTTATCAAGCTTCTTCCTGTGTTGATCTGGTATGTGCACATAGGCTGTGCAACCAAACACCTTGAAGTGCTCTACTGAGGGAGGAATGCCATGCCAAAGCTCCTGAGGTGTCTTGCCTTGGTTGGCTGCTGTTGGACATCTGTTTAAGATGTGAGTTGTCCAGCCAACAGCCTCAGGCCAGAACCTAGCAGGAACTTTAGTATCTTCCAACATACACCTAACCATATTGAGAATTGTTCTGTTCTTCCTCTCTGCTACCCCATTCTGTTGGGGAGTCAAAGCTACAGTCAACTGTCTTCTGATTCCATATTCATCACAGTATTCTCTAAACTCAGTTAACATGAACTCTCCTCCTCTATCTGTTCTTAAGCACATAAGTGGTATATTTGCTTCTTTCTCTACTTGTGCTTTAAAAATCTTGAACATACTGAATGACTCAGACTTGGTAGATAGGAAGTAGACCCACAATTTCCGACTAAAGTCATCTATCAGTGTGAAGATATACCTCTTTCCACTGCTGGAGGTTGGGGTGATAGGTCCACACAGATCTGCGTGCACTATCTCAAGCTTCTTTGTGGTCTGCCACTCACTTTGCTTGGGAAATGCAGCTCGATGTTGCTTGCCAATCAGGCAAGTAGAACATACTCCTGGGTTTCCTTTTAGAGAAGGTAACCCTTTCACCATCTTCTTCTTCTGTAAGCCCAACAAGCCTTGATGATGCAGATGACCAAACCTCCTATGCCACAAATTTAAAGCTTCTTCTTCACTCTTGGTGGTTAGGAGACACTTGTTGTCGATGGCAGCAGGTAAGTTGCAGTGCAGTACAAACAGTCTATTGGACTTCATGGCCGTTTGCAGAATGAGCCCCTTATCTTCATGAAACAGTTTACAAACTCCCTCCTTAATAAGGAAACTCACTCCTCTTTCCTGCATTTGCCCCATGCTGACCAAATTTGATTTCAAACCTGGGACATAGAATACTTCCTGCACCTTAAGAGATAGCTGTCCCATTTCCAGTTGGATTGTTCCTTTCCCTTTTACAGCAAGCCTAGTTCCATTCCCCAGTTTCACAGTGCAATTGAAAGAGGAATCAAGCTTAGTGAACCATAGATCACTACCTGTCATATGATTACTGCACCCAGAGTCCAGAAACCACCAGCCTTCACTTGAAGTCTGATTTGCAGCAGGTTGAGTTCCATCCAGCTGTCCCATATTGACTACCAGTGTATCTTCCTCGATTTCCTCTTCCTCTTCTGTGTAAGCCATCAGCAGCATTTCCTCCTTCATGTCAGGGTAGTCATTTCCTTGTTCCACTGCTGTGAAATGTGTCTGCTGGCCATAAAGCTCAGGGCATTCATACTTGAAATGACCTAACTTATGACAGTAGAAGCATTCCACAGTTTCACGATTCAAGCCTCTTCCACCCCTACCTCGACCTCTTCCACGATAGCTACCTCTTCCTCTGCTACCTCTTCCTCTAAAGTCATGTGTGACTTTCAAGGCCTGATCATCAGCTTCTGTCTTCTTCAGGAACTTTTGTTCATGCACCAGCAAAGAACTCTGCAAGGCATCCACAGTGAGAGTATCTATATCCTTGGATTCCTCTATGGAACACACGATATAGTTAAATTTCTCTGTGAGTGTCCTCAGGATCTTTTCCACCACCTTCACATCAGTGACTTCTTCCCCACAATTTCTCATAGCATTTGCTACAATCATAACTCTTCCAAAATAGTCATTGACACTCTCTCCCACCTTCATTTCCAGGACTTCAAAGTTCCTTCTCAAGGTTTGCAGCTGAGCTTTTCTCACTCTCTCATTTCCCTGGAACTTCAACTTCATTGAATCCCACAATTCCTTTGCTGTAGCCTTCTGAGTTATGGTCTTCAATATCGTCTTGTCAATTGAACTAAATAAATAGTTCTTGGCTTTGAGATCCTTCAGCTTCAGATCCTCCAATTCCTTTGTTTGGACTTCTGTCAAGACTGTTCCAGCTGCAGCTTCTCGAAATCCATTTGAGACCACTCCCCAGTACTCTTTCGAACGCAGCAGGTTCTCCATAAGCAGGCTCCAATGATCGTAATCTCCATCAAAACGAGGTATACACACCTGAGCAAAGCCTGCATTCTCACTCATCTTTGCTCCTCACTTTCCCTCGTGTTTCACTCACCCTTGGTAGCCTCACTAGCACTCGTGTTTCCCTTCCCAATCACTCAAAAAACTGTTTGCTTAAATCTCAGAGATCTGGTTACAGTAAGCCAAAGCTCTGATACCACTATGTTAACAGATTTGGGGCAAACTGACAACAGCTTTATTGATAATCAAAGGTTTATATACACACTAAGGACTCTCTCACGTCTGCCACCAGTATCCCACTACCCCTTTTCCTGATTTTCAGCCACTAACCCAACTAACCTGAACAACTCTCCTAACTTGACTGCTAAGTAAATGGACTGGACTTCAATTGCAGCAACACAACTAACTAACAGGACCCAGTAAGACATGACTCTGGACGATAGACTCAATACGGCGCGCATCACTTGACACAATGCCTCTTATTCAAACGCAACAGCTATGACTGGTTACTTCTGGTTTGCTCCTCCAACTTCTAGCTTCAACAATCCCTAAGTCTATGAGTCTATGATCTAGGGACTGATCATTGATAACATATATAAACGATTTCGAGTAAGGATGACAATTTCCTACACAAATACAAACCGTAGGTAAACATTTACACCCCAAAGGCGGCCCAAATACACAAATTTAGCTGAGCGATTTATGACAGATATAGTTATTGTATTATTAATTAAGAGTTGGGAGGGATGTATCCGTGTTCAAACGGAGTGGTTATTGTGGTTTGATAATGATAATTGGTTGGTTTGGTTAATCATTAGAGGGTCGAGTGTTCCTTTCTTTCAAACCAATAAAAAAATAAATCATTAATGTATCTATACTGTATTTGTTCTTATAGAAGGTATATAAAAACAAATGGACAAATAACTTAGATAAATTTCATAAATCATTCAATTCATTAATTAATCTCATTCCGGTGGCATATAATTTTGTTAGGTGGCTACTTCTAATAACTATATGATAATTATATTAGTTGTATATATTTATGTTAACAATTAATTATATGTTGATTGTCATATGTTATTCATTATATATATAAATTGCAAACTTATGCACTATAAGGAAATTTTCTTACCTAATGATAATGTTATGTTATAGTTGTTAATCCGACTAATCAATTAACTAAACCGACTAAACATTAGTTTGGTTAATTTTGTTGGTGTATTAGTTTGGTCGTTTGGTTATGATATCGTGTATTCATGATTAATGATATTTAGACTTAAATGGTTTGGTTATTACTATGGTAGCCAATTGAACACCCCAAGAAGGTTGGGTTGCAACTAGGGCTGGGAATCCGGATCCAGTTTACCGGTCAAACCGGAAATCGGACGGTTTTAACCGTTTCGGTTACAACCGGAAACCGAATTCGCAACAACCCAATCCAATTGCCGGTCGCTGTCTGTCTGGGAAAAACCGGCCCGGTCCGGTTTAAAACAGGAAAATTGTTTAAAAACTGGATGGGTTAACTGACCAGGCCCAACACTAAATTATAACTGACGGCCCACTAAATTATAACTAATTGACTAGGCCCAACAAAAAAAAAATCCAACCCACTAAGTCACTAACCCAGAAGGCAGCCCAATGACCCAGTCCACTAAGTAACGAAACCCTAATTGCCTAAAGGGATTTGCGAATAGGGCAATCGGCTGTTCCTCTTCCTCCCCTTCAATCTCCATCTGCGCAGCTGAGGATGAGAGGTGCTGCCTGAGTGCCTGCCGCGATGCCGCCTGGTTTGCTCACCCCTCTCGCTCTATCCCTCGGCGGCGACGACGAGTGGCGGCGACGACGACGAGTGACGAGTCGAACAGCGGGCGACGAGTGACGAGCGTTTGAGAGCAGTCTCCCCCGTCTCGGCTTCTCCTGTACATCTCCCTTCGAGACTCGAGCATCGATCTCCTCCGTCTCCTGTACATCTCCCTTCGAGCGCCATCATCTACCACATTTCTCCTGTCGAGCGTTGATCTCCTTCGTCACCAGACGCAATCGACGAGCCGACGACACCTCGAGATTCCGGCAAGCCGCCACGACCTCGGTAGAACGACGGTAAGTCTCTGACCCTCGCCTCTTCATTTCTCATGGATTTCCCGTCAATCCAGCCATCCCCTGAGTTGATTGATCATTTAATGCAGACATGCAGTCGCCCCAGCCACCAGCAGAAGCCGTTCCCACTTCCTCCCAGCAGCAGAAAACCAGGTCGACAAGAGAGAATCGAGAGATGCAAGGAAGCAGCAGCATCTGGGTAAGTTCGAGGAAGCCGAGGGTTTGAGAACTGGGATTGAACATTGCAAATTCTTATTTTGTGATTGAGAATGAGATGTGTGATTGTATAATTTGAAAGGGAGATAATACAGAATTACAGATTGAGATGGTCGACCAGCCGGTCGTTTGGTGGGGTTTCCGGTCAAAACGGTTTTCCGATCAAAATCGGACCAAACCGTATCTTATCCAATCCGGTTTGGTTTAAACCGTGTCCCAGTCCAATCCCGTCCACGGTTGGGCATAAGTCCAATCCGGTCATAAAAAACCGGGTCAATCCGGTCCGGTTAAATCGAACCGGACTGTTTCCCAGCCCTAGTTGCAACACAAAATTCAGGAGCTACAAAACTTGCATCTTATCATTCTTGATACGAATCATACCATTCAGATATTATCGTATTAGGCAGCGGCGAACCTAGGGGGACCGACCCCGGGCCACGTCCCAGCCCTCCCCGAATTCAGAGTTAGTATAGTCCTTGTAAATTTTCAATTTTAGGTATTCATTTTAGTGTTCGTTGGGTTAGGACCCATTCCTCTTAGTTTCTTTTCAAATGTGACACAATGCTCTACCCTATCCTGAATCCGCCGTTGTTATTAGGGTAGTTTGATTCACATTACAAGTGGTAAGAAACATAATAATTTTGTAGGTTTGTAGTTCTGAATTTTATACCCTATCTTTTTTCCATTAATTAGTGATCTTCACATCAAACTTTACGAGAGTTTAAATGGAGACGAGCTAGGTAACAACACAATAAGCATATGATCCATGCGTCTAACTCTAATTATGTGACAAGTCAATTAAAAATTTAAAATGTCACCGCCACCTAGTAATGCTAATCAAAAGAGTGAACCAAATTCAATATACTAAAAATCATCTCAAAATTTGCTCCTCCAAATCCCAAATTTTAGTTATTTGAAGAGATTCCATTTAAATCCTAGTTCTGCTAAATCTCTAACGCTCTCCCTTATTTAAATTCTTCTCGATCCACCCCATCGATTATTCTTTCCTCCGATTTTAATAGTTTATATAGGAAATTGACGTAGAACAAAGAAATCATATAGGAAATTGAACCAAATTACCACATCTTAACATGTGTTTTTTTTTGGCGATAGTGATAATGGTTAAAAAAAACTAGTTAATTACTACTTTTGCGACATTTCATGTACTGTATTTCCTTGCTGTTACAATAGTCAACCCTTATGTTTTACGGAAATCAGGGTTGATTATAGTATAAGGATAATATGTTACAAAACCCTAAAATCGGGACCAATATTGTCGTTTTTTTGGTTAAAGGAAAGTGTCCCCTTTATCGCGTCCATCATCCGCACAAAATGGGCTCTTCTGGATTTTCTGAACAGCAGAAAGAAGGAAGTAAAGAAAGAAAGAAAGCAAAAGCAGCAACATTCCCCACTTAGAAGAGTCAATGATGACACGACGGCGACCACCCAACCAAAAACCCACTCTACCCGCCACCATAAATGGCATGCAATGCCAATCTCTTGTCCTTCTCCGACTCAGACAAATCCCCCCATCTTTCCCTTATCACTTGCCCAGAGACTCTGCCGCTTACCCACTTCCCAATTTACCCGATTCAACTCGATCAGCCTTCGAGTTTCTGTGTTCCTCGAGAGGCATGGCAATGGCGCCTAGAGCGTATGTTATGGCGCTGGTTCTGTCGGTGGCGGCTGTGATTCATGCCCATGGAGCCGTTCACAAGGTTGGAGACTCCGCCGGCTGGACTACGATTGGGAGCCCCGATTACAAGCAGTGGGCTGTCACTAAGACCTTCGAACTCGGCGACGTCATCCGTAAGTCTCGGTCCTTTTGGTTTCCGTTTACACACACCACCTGTTTGTTTAATTTCCTCTGAGAGAGACTTCCCCTGCTGCATGCAAACTTTGCGGGGGTTCTCTGTTTTAGTTAATTTGCTGAAAGTTCAGTGCTTTCTGATTCATTTCATTGACCCACTTGGATTTTCCTGTCTCCCCCCTTTGATTTATGGCTCCCCTTGTTGATTCAGTGGATTTCCAATTCATCCAAGAACTGTTTGTAGTCTTCTGCTGAGTTGTGATCTGTGGGAAGTAGTGTCTCCAATTTCCTCAAAGGAATGTTTTTTTGGCCCAACTCAATCCATCCACTCACACCCATTTCTGATGGTCCCCTAAGGCACGCAGGCACAATCTTTCTTCTCACTCAAATCCTTACTCGCATGCTTCAGTTTGATGATTATGTATGTCACTGTCAGAACTTCGGGATCTGGAAAGTAAACAACCACCCACCTTTGGAATTAAGCATCTTAAAAGCGACAACTTTCTTATCCCACAACCCACTGTGCTCGTGCGTTGCATGATGATTATGCCGTCGACTGATCTGTTCTTTCTCTTTCCCGCGCCGAATCTTACATTTGTGAAGAAATCCCTATAAATGAAAGAAAAGAACTAGAGAATGATGGGGGTTTTCCTCCATTTTTCACTGTCGATGAAAATGCAAGTTATTGGAAGAAGGCTACTCCACAATGGCCTTTGCCACTGACTTATCAGGTGAGACTTCAACAGACGAGCTGTGTTGATGAGGATAACCAAAGTTTAGGAGAGTCCTTCTACAGAATTTTTGTTTGTTTGTTTGGTAGCACTTCTCCTATATGTCTACGGAGAAGCTCACTTTGCTGCTGATCCTATTTGATCATCACTTTGACACTGTCATATCTGATTTTTAGGGCCCCGTCTGTTGGCTTTCGTTGACATTCTGAAGATTTTCCTGCTTATTGAATTTTGTACGGTTCTTAAGATAGTGATGCCTACGTTATGTGTTAATGCATTAGTGCCCGTCTTCTGCAGATCTCCAGCTGCTACTGTGCATTGTAGTTGCTAATATCCATCTGTTTTGCTCTGTGTGTTGCAGGTTTCGAGTACAACCCACAATTCCACAACGTGATGAGAGTGACACACGCCATGTACAGAGCCTGCAACACCACAGCTCCACTGGCCACGTACACCACAGGGAACGATTCCATCACCATAACCACCCGCGGCCACCACTACTTCATCTGCGGCGTCAATGGCCACTGTCAGTCCGGCCAGAGAGTCGACATCAACGTCCTTCCCACCACCGCGACACCTTCATCTTCTCCCGCTTCTTCCATGGCAGCCCCAACTCTGTCTTCTGCACAATCCCCAGGCCCTAGTTCGAACACCGCGGCCTCTTCCATGGCTTCCATCGCTCAAGCGCTTCTCCTCGCCATGGCAATCCTCTTCCACGTCGGATTTGCCTGAATTTGGCGCCAATCCGTCCAAATGATGTACACTTCAGTCTAGATTCCCACCTTCCCTCACAGTTCCTTCTCTGTGTACTAATAATAAGCCATGGTAGTAGAGATAGCGAGGAAACAGAGACAAAGATAGAAGGAAATCGAAATTGGAAATTCTGCTCTGAATTTTTGTGTTTGTTTTCTTTGATTGATTCTATAAAGCCAAACAACTATTTCTCTAACATAACAATTTCTTTATGCCGGTGTTGGAACAAATAACTCTTAGCTCTTAGAGCATTATCACGAGACTAAAAGATAGAAGTGAAAGAATGAAAATAACTGATTCGTTACAAGTATTGAAATTAAAAAAGATTGAATCTTTTCCTCTTTTTCCTCCTTTTTTGTGTGGCTCTGCTCTCTGCGGAAACCATATATCTTCCAATTCTCCAAGAGCTTCTTCAATGGCGGGTTGCAATTTTTTGTGTTGTTGTTATCAATCAATCCATGAATTTTTTCCAGACAGGGTGCTTCTTCCAGACCCTTTCGTTCATGGCGTCGATGGGGACTCCCTTGGTCTCCGGCAAGAGGAAGACGACGAAGAGTCCCATCACAAAGATCCAGGCCGCGAAGAAGAAGAAGATGTAGGCCTTCAAATGGCACATCATGGACAAGAAAGCTTGTGCCACGACGAAGGTGAAGAGCATGTTGGAGCTCACCGCGCAGGCGAAACCCGCCGCTCGAGTCTCCACCGGGAAAGTCTCGCTAGGAATCAGCCAGCCCAATGGGCCCCAAGACCACGCAAAGCCCATTACGAAGAAACACACAAGGAACACCACCACGCCGGCTTCCACCTTCGTCAGCGACCCCGTCGCCGTCAGATTCAGATGCAGAATGAACCCAATCGCCATCTGTTCCCACCAAAAATTAAGCAAGAAGAAGCTCAATTGGCGAAATCTGGCGGAGAGAGAGAGAGAGAGATAAAAATGTTACCTGAGAGATGAACATCTGGACACAGGCTTCGAGGAGGAGGGCCTTGCGGCCGACCTTATCGACGGCGACGACGGAGACGACGGTGCTGACGACGTTGACGACGCCGGTGATGACGGCGGAGAGGAGGGAGCCGTCGTTCTTGAACCCTACGGTCTGGAAGAGAACAGGGGCGTAGAACATGATGGCGTTGATTCCGGTCATCTGCTGGAAAACCTGGAGCAGGATTCCGATGATTAAGGGAGGGAAGCTGGATCTCTTCATCAGCTCCTTGAATGGGCTTTTGGCCTGCTTGGCGGCCTCGCAGGCGGCCTTGATCTGGTTGAATTCGGCGTCCACGTTGTCGACTCCCCTGATTTTTTTTAGGGTTTTGTGCCCCTGCTCCAGCTTGTTCCGCTCCACGAGGCTGGTCGGCGTCTCGGAGATGACGATCGAGCCGATGAAGAGTCCCGCCGCCGGTGCGCCGGCGATGGCGAGGGAGATTCGCCAGCCGTACGGGTGGATCTTCGAGACCGCGAAGTTGACCAAGTTGGCGAAGAGGATTCCGATCGTGACAAAGAGCTGGAAAAGGATGTTGACCGCTCCTCTGTGCTTCACCGGAGCTATCTCCGATAAAAACAGGGGAACTCCCTGAGACAGAGGAAAAACAAATTTTTAATTGTTTTTTTATAAAAATTCACACTTTTTGAGAAATGATTGGAGCCCTTATTCGTAGAAATGATTAGTGAATTACCTCGTTACCGAATCCTACGCCAACACCGAGGAGAATTCGGCCAACGATGAGCATGGCGACGTCCATGGCGGCGGCGCTGAGGGCAGCTCCGGCGAGGAAAAACACGGAAGCGATGAGAATGGTGGGCTTCCGGCCGAACTTTTCGCAGGCTTTGGAGGCGCCAAAGCTGGAGACAAGGGCGGCGAGGTAGAGTGAAGAGGTGAAGAGCTGAAGGTTCTGGTCATCGTATTTACAGTAGTTGTCTTCTTTGGCATGGAGTTTCTTCTCGTACACTTTCGGGAAGAACTTGATCTGGAAATCGTCCATGGCAGTCACTCCACCTAAGATTAATATTCAAAACACAACACCCAAATCAAATCAAGACAAAAAAAAAAAAAAAGATCACTACTTTTGTTTCTAAAACTACACTGAAAGTGGACAAAGCTAATACAGGACATAGCTTTCATTTTGGTACACATCGTATTGATGTACCGATTGAGGACTGAAATACTAGATTCTTTATGATGTAATGGATAATATCCCAAGAATGTTTGATTCTTAATACGAGCTAAGACGTCCTAGTCCCTAGGTATATGTCTTATATAGATAAACGACGAGAGCATAAATTCACAACGCATTTTGGTAATTTTTCATATCTAATTATCTAGTCTAGAGTCTAGACCACCTTTGATGATCATTTTTTGAAGGAAAAAAAAATGATGAGTGTATGGCACATACCAGAGATGCCAATGTCATAGCCAAACATGAGGCCACCAAAGGCGGCGAGGAACCAACAAATAGCGACATAGAAAGTGAGCTTTGATGGGAAGTTTTGAGGCGAAATGCGTTTTTCGGAATCGTCCATTGTCACTCTCTCTCACTTTTGTTAGCAACTTTTGGAGGGAAAAGCAAAAGCGGAGAAAGAAAGAGAGATCGAGAGAGTGATTACTGATGTGATTGACTGATGATCTAGCGTGTTACGATTTTATATAGAGTTGGTTTGAGGATTTGAAGGGTGGAAGTAAGAGAGGTTTTGGGGTTAATGTGGTTGGAAAAAGGATAATGATCCACAATCCATGGATGAATTTGCTGGTCCCTCTGGGACATCCGATAAAAAAGGATGAATTTGCTGACCAGGAAAAAAAAAACAAAGAAACAAAGAACTCAACATTTTGTATTGAAAGTTTGCTAAGTTTGGAAAGGTGGGTTTTACAAAATGAAGTTTAGTAAACTAACTAAATGGATATCTTTTATCAGTTTGTTTTTTGTTTTGCTTTTGAGTTGTAATAATAGCTCTTTTACATTTACCTGCTTTAGACATATAATCCTCTTCTCAATACAAGTTGATAAATTCTTTAAATTGCTCCTCAGAAATAAACGCGTGTAATGCTCACTGGTGAGTGTTTGATTTTTGTTGTAAATATCAGACCACATCCTTAGAATAAGCACTAAAATTTGGGGAACATTTTTGAAGAAAAAAAAATATGAAATATGATTCTTCTTCCGAGCTTCAGTTTGGTAAGCTCGTTTTTTAATACTCTAACCAACCCTCTTATTTATTTAATTATTGTACACTCTTTTATAATCGATGAAAAACAATTCTACTCGAATGTTACAACATGGGTTATTTTGCATATGATCAAGGCCGTCCCATGATACTTGGAGACCCTGTTCGACAATCTAAAATGTGGCCTCAAAATTTTTTTTGAAAATTTAATAATTTTCGAATCGCCGTCAAGATTGGCTACTAGTATCCAAACTCCTCAATTCTCTATTTTTGTTTACGCTGAGAACTATCTTTTTCATATTTTTGGATTGACATAATTAAAAAATATAATCAAAGATTAATTATTTTAAATTTCCAATCACTATTAAGTTCCCTGCAAAAGAAAAAAAAATTAGAACTTAAAACAAGTTGGTTAGAAACCTGGATAGTAGGGATGGACATCGATTAGGAGTTAATTAGAATGGGGTGTGAATAATTAATATTTAAGCTTTGGATGATTTGGGGTGGGGAAAGAGAAGAAGCAAGACGTTTAAATACTAAAATGGTTAGTAAAAATTCATCAAATGACTCTCATTTTAGTGACTGAATCACCTTTTTAATGAAAAAGAGGTTCAAGGTTCGATTCTCTTCCCTATCAGTTGTCATCCTTGTATATTTGATTTAACCCTTCCGTGTCAGTTGCCATCCTTGTACATTTGATTTTTGTGTGGGCTTTGCCAGCCCAAGGAGGCCCAGGTTGGCTCCGGCCGGGCTAATGGATTAGAGGCCCATAAAACTTGAGGCACAGCAGATTTGTGGATTATGAGGCTCCAGTCGGACTTATGGATTAGAGTCCCCATAAAGATTGAGGCCCTGTGCTGTGGGTCTGACCAGCACAGGGCCTGGGCCGGGCCTGCATATGATGTTATCCTCCGGTAATTCAACTCTAAGTAGCCCGCAAGACTTGAAAGTCCATTTTGCTCCTATAGAGATAATGCTAAAGACATGCTGTTACACCAATTCAATGCTAAGGCAAAAGCGGTTGAATATGATGACCTTAAGATCCAATTGAAAGAAGCACAATAGAGGGTGTTCAAGGTACGAATGATATTGGACGTCGTTTTGCCCGTTTCAACTTGATGTATTTTGATATTTGTGCCATTAGCAAGGAGTCACCCTCGATTGATCGACAGATTGAAATTTAAAAAATGAGCAGACCATATTTAGTTATGGATTTGATCCTACGCTCAATTCATGGCGGGATGCTAATCAAGTTGTTTATTTGATAGCGCATAGCAATATGATGTGGGATAAAGGCTTTATTTGCAGGGCCAGCTCTTTGCATGTGGTGGGAGGCAAGGCACCCAAAACAGGGCCTCCAAACTCCAAAAACTCCATCAAGTGCCATAAAATTAATTGTGGACCTTCAAATTTTGGGGCCACATTAATTTATGGAATAGGTAAGAATTGCAATGAGGCAGGTCCGAGATGAGTTTCTTGGTATCCAAATCCGTCTCGTGATAGATTGGGTACCGATCGAATAATTTATTAAGGATCGTGGATCGGAACAGGTCGACCTAATGGATATGCAATTTATATGAAAAACATTAAAAATATTCGTTATTTTTATTATAAGACCAAGAAAACAAACAATATTATGATAAATGTAGTTAAATTATTGGAGAAATTGAAATTTTCACTAATTTACAACTTTATTATAGCTAAAAATATGATGTAATAAAAGGAAAATCCTAAGTAATTTGACCTAAATTACATATAATTTAGTCAAGAATGAGACAGCTCAGGACAGATCCAGTCGATGAAAGTACCCATGTCCGCCCCGCCCCAAAATAGGTTGGATAAAACCGATCAGGTCGAAATTGTCATCCCTAACACGAAATAACATTTCCTACATTTGATCACAACTTGCCGAGAGTGACCATCATCTGAGAAAGTCTGTTCCAGAGACAATGATTTTGACTAAAACATCATTCATGCAGGAAATCAAAGTCGAAAACTTCAACGCAGGCAATTTCAAGACCGAATGAAACTTCATTGTTTCCTCCTTTTTGCTTCAAAGCCTTTGGATATGTTACAACAGAGTCTAAGTTGCGGGTGTGGTTCGGTTCATGTCACGGGGGATGCAATTGACCTTTGTCGCATCTATGGGGCAACAATGAACTATTGGATCAAAAGGATCCCCCTTTATATAACCTAAGCACATTTATAAGCAGGGGACGTGAAAGCTCAAGAAAAACAAGTAGTTGCGACCTGATGAAACCCGAAAAAGAAGAAAGCAGAGTGGAAGAGGGGAAAAGAATGTGGCCGTCGAGGATGAAAGAAAGGATCACCAAATGCGATCAGAATCTGGTGTGGATGGAAAGGGTGACTACTTCAACTTGAGGGGCGATCTTGAGCCAGAAGACCATTTAAAAGTGGTCGCTCCACGTCCAAACTCCTGACAGATGTGCTCGGACCGTTGGGGTCATGACGACGGAATCTGCCAATCAGAACAGAACAATCCAGTTGATTAGGGAACTCCATGGAGACAGACAAAGTGTATATTGATAACAAGGGGGCACAAAATGAGCCAATTTGATGTTCCGTATTTATGCTAGTTAGCTTGTCAAAAGAAAAGAGAAAGCTGGGCAGTCCCTCCGACCATAACTCTACCAATACATCAACCTGCACAAGATCTGGTTTGAATACCAAAGCAAATTATCGAATCAAGGTGAATGAACGAACTACTTATATAAGGAGCAGGTAGATGTTTGTTTAATGTTTTCACAGTATATAATTAGATTTTAAGGAGGTAGATAGTCAGTCTGCCAACAGAGAACCGGTAGAATTTTGAGAAATGACAATCATTATATAAGTCATAGGAATTTCTGAAAACGATGGCTTTCATTTAATAATTTGCGGGATCCATTTTTTAAGCCTGCAACAAACACATATATCTCCCATGCAATTCCATAACATAGCTACGAGACGAGAAAAGCAAGCATAGAGACCTTACACTAGTTGATTGGAGCTCCACATTGGCCGTATCCTCACCATCCTAAAACATAAACAAATTCATGTAATAGTTTAACAATTGAGTTAATATGAATAAAAGAAAAACACAGGGATGGGTAGAGAAAGCTTTAGCAGATGGGAAACTGCGATGAAGACATGATCAAATACCTCAATCAATAAATCCTTTCTTGTAATTAGTCCAACAATGCGAGAAGGCCGAGGGACAACTAATAAATGCCGCAATCCTAGTTGACGAAAGAGACTATATACCTATAACACCAGCAGCAAGTTGCAGAATCTCGCATTGTAAGACAAAGAGAATAACATTTCCCCATATATATATGTACCATCAAAAACCGACAAGTTACGAAGAGAAAGGCACTAACTTTTGTTAAAGACATATCTTCTGGAACGACGTATGGAGATGGGTTCAAAAAGGGCGCAAGATCTATGTACATTTCCGAGTCATCGGAACTCAAATGAATATCTTCTATTGAAATTCCTTTGCTTGAAACAGGTTTCACAAACTCAGTGAAATTGTGACTGTATGAACAAGAATCAAACTACATTAGGGGAGCGACAGGGAGTCAAACTGGAAAAAGGCATCATTATCATAGCCAAAATTACCTGATTGGTGCTGATCCACTCATAGAATCAAAGGGCAACGGACTGTGCTGGAAATCTACCTTAGACTGAAGAAGTACTAGTAAATGACTGCACATTGAAACAAAAGGACAATCTGTGTTACTTTCCTTTCAGCTGGTATACTACCCTCCATTGAATAATATCACATGTTTGATAAGCACAAAAATGAAGTGAATTGAAAAGCAAGTACTACCTGCGAAGCATAAGCCCAACTACAAGCGTCTCTCCATTCCTTTTATGATCAATAACCTAAGCAGTATGCAAACAGTAAGATCACGTATTTCAGATCTGATTATAATTGAGAAAAGAATAAAGGAGAAGATAGCTTACAGGAAATCCATTGTGCTTACTGCTACGCAAAATAGAAACTATATCGGCAACCTTAGCAACACGAGAAAGGGAAACAACCTTCAAGATGAAAAAGCATAACTAATCAGTCAACTAAACTCAACCATAGACCAAAACCCCTAAACTGATCTATTACTATTCAATTTGCTGATGTTGCCATGGTTAGCAGAAAAATCTGAAAGCTTTCGCTAAAAACTCACCTTCTGGTTTCCACAAGCATCCTTTGAGGTCATAGTCCTCATCTGGTATTTCGGTTTAGATTCCAGTAATGGAATGCCCCTTAATCTTGCCTGTTCTTCATACAGGCCTTCATTAAAAGCATCACCAACAGCCTGCCCAGCCAGAGAGAGAGAGAGAGGGATGTGGAAAAGTTGGCACGTCATTCATCAAGTCACCATGGGAAACTAGTTCAAAAAAGGTACCTTTGATATAAGGAGCACAAGCATTATAAGAGGCAGAAGTTTCAAGTTGTTGGTGATCTCAACCATAATGACACATAAAGAGACTGTCATCCTCATTGAACCTCCAAGGAAAGAAGCAGCTCCAAGTAAAGCATACCTACCAGCAACCGAGTTAAAACCAAGGCATAAATGAAACATCACCGACAAAATATGAGAGAGTAAAATTTGTAGCAAAGTCGGGTCCATTAAAAGTGAAAAGAAAAATACCTAGAAGTTAAAGTTTATGGCAAGTATATAAATTGAACACCATAACAATGTAGTGTAAAGAGAATATATCCAGACTTGTTGGGGAAAACTTACGTCCCTTCCTCAATGTTGAGCTTCTTGTAGAAATTGACAACAAACATTCCAACAAGGCGTCCGTATGTTGACCCTATCATTATTCCAGGCACAAACTGACCAGCAGGAACTGCTGTACCAAAAGTCACCACTGCTAACGTGTAAAACATAACCTGCAAATGGTCCAAGAACATAAATCAGATACTTGAAATTATAATTAATCTAGACATCTTGACTGTATTCCAAATCAGAGTGCTAACTTATGTGCTATAACTGGGATTAAGCAATAAAACAACATCTCTCAAATGATAATACACAAAACGACTTAATAAGGCTTGCAGCTTAATATACTATATGTCTCTTAGAGGTCGTGCAGACAACTCAGGGGAGGAAAGATGTTTAGAAGGCTATACAGAACAGGTTTCAGGATGCAGCTTTAGTGAAACACATCCATCTTCAAGATTACTAATTTACATCAATGCTGCAACATAACTAGGAAATGATGCAGTACCAGAAATGTCAATAAACTTTGTGCACTGAACTCATGGATTGTCTTTGCACTAAACAGATTCCTGATGGCATCATCCTGTAATAAAAGCACATGGGCATAGTGAATAAGCCATAAAGATGCCACAAGTGGAAACCAACATGAAAATGAAGGACAAGGCTGCAAGGCATTGAAGTACCTGAGTATTGAAGAAAATTGTTGCAAGGTCATTATATTCCTTCTCCTTGCCACAGAAAAACTGCATACAAAATATAATTAGACGTTTTGCCGCCAACTGCACATCTAGAGATATCTTACATGCTAAGTGCACAAACATTACACATTAAAAATCCAGGGATCAGAGGTGATTGCCAGGAACTACTCATGAATCTCAAGTGATACAAATGTTAAAGATGGAGAATGCAACCTTTTCAGATCCCTACTTGAATGATAAAAAAAAGAAGGATCTTATGACCCAAAATTAAATGAGAGCATCAACAGTCTCAAGAGATAACTTACGCTCACGTAATTCCCATACATGCCGGGAGGGCGTGGACACTCAATATTAGAGTCAGTATCAGATTCTGGACAGGGACTACACTTTCTCAGGAGTGGAAGTCCAAAAGAAATAGCGGAAGTTATGAATGAGATCAGGCATGCTTCAATTATCTGCAAGGTTCAGGATATGAAAGCAGATAGTGAGAGAATAAAACGTAATTGAAAGAGTCAAAATGAGCAGAAACCCTTTTCTTTACTTAATTATCTGAATTTCACCTTAACGCGGGTCCCTTTCTTGTGTAAATGGTTTCGACGCCAGTAAGTTATATATAGAGTGAGCTGGTTGAACAAAGCACCTGAAAACCGAAAAGAACGAAATAAAAAAAGAAAAGAGATAAAAAAGTGAGCACACTACTATTTATTGTCAACAAAAAGGGTGTAGAATAACAGATCCTTCTGGCACATACCAAGCAGACCACCAATCACTCCAATAAAAGCCATTGGAAGTAACTCCTCGAAAGAATAGTCCTCTTGACCACTGTAAAGTTGAGTTTTTCAAAAAGTAGAATTAGAAAACCAGAGCAAACTCAATGCACGATGGGAATAAGAATGCAACAGGCTTAAAACTTACTCCGACACATCCCATATTATAAAGCCCCCTGAGCCGAAATGCCCACACTTTCCACTCTTACACCATCCCATGGCAATACGTACCACAACTGCCACAATAGCAGAAGTAAAAAAGACACGCCACATAAGTTGACTCCTCCACCTTCATGGTACAACCAAACTATAATCAAGTAGTGTTCAAACTGTAATAATGTGCCAAATATCTATTGTATGTTTATATAACAGCCAATTTCATCACATAGTCATAACTGTCTTACCAAGATGTGACCTCTTCCAATGCAAACAATACACCACCAACTGGAGCTCTAAAAGCAGCAGCTACTCCAGCTGCACACCCGCAGGTTACCTTTCCAAAACATTAGACAGCAAAAATTGAGCAAACAAGGATGTACGGTATCTCCACGGGTGGATAAAGAGAGCTGACGACAACAGCATTCAAGCGCACATTAACTATACTACTACAATAGGAATCAACTCATAATGGGTGGCAAGCAAGTTTTTCAATAATGGTTCCAAACGGGAGCCACAAAATTGTGCCAAATCAGCCAAAAAGGAACAATAAGAGAATGGTGAGAAGCAGGTCACTCACCAGATCACGGCGGTCTCGATCACTTTGGAAAAATTGTAGCCATCTGGAACTCAGATGATATTTTGTAGTTCCACCCTAATAAACATATGGAACAAAAGAGTAAGAACTAGCTGTTCAAAAAGAGACGAACAAAAGATGGCAAATGTGGTGTTGTGACTCCACGAAGAGTCTACTATACCAATCCTCACCTGTCCAAACAATGAAGCTATGCAAGCACCAGTATGAACGAGAGGACCTTCCTTGCCCAAAGCAAGACCACCTCCAACAGAGCCAATGCTTCCAAATATCTACAACAATTAACGAAACTGAGAAGTGAGAAAATGGGTAAGGGAAATAGACATTAGGAACATTGATGCCTTGAAATACCATCAAACCTTTCCAATCAAGGTTCTGAAGAGTAGAATACCATGGGTGTCGACCCCTGTAAATATACGATGCACATCGCAAAAAAAGGAGGATACTTTAAGATCTGTTCAAGCGTACGAGAAAGCAACAGCACTGTGATCTGAGGAATGACGCTCACCATTTAAATAACCTTTAATCTCAGGGATACCAGATCCTGCTGCAGCAGGTGCGAAGTGGGTGATGATATATACAGATGAAAAAACTAAAGCCAGGTTGATTAGTACATATACTATGAAGCCAGCAAAATATGACTTCTGTATTATAGCAAACGTCAGTGAGAACTTCCAGCCAGCAAAGTTCTCAACCGATATATTGATGAAAACAGCTGCCAATCCAGTACCTGTAAGCAAACAAACCATATCAATAAACTACCAATTACCACAAATTCCAATGCTCCTTCAATTCTCCATTCACATCACATAACATCATGTCTTCCCTCCCAACTAAGGAGCTATCAACAGAAAATGCAACTAAAACTACAATCTGGAAATGCCATATATTGACCTAAGAAGAGACAATAGAGAAATCGGGTAGGAATATAAAAGCAAACAAATGAACAGGAGGGTGTGATCAGTGATCTTCAAGATGGGGAAAGCTCAATCGAGAACAGAAACACCAAGACTCACCAATTCCAATAAGCAAAGCAAAGAACCACTTCACAACTACATAGAATCCAACGTACAGCTTCCCTCTCTGCGCCTGCAACTCCAAAAGCAATGTCAGGAAACCCAAAAAAAAAAAACCAATAATCGCAGAAACGAAGGCTCATACTCGAAAACAGAAACACCCCGAATCGCACACTACCTGCTCTTCTCGATACTCATAGTTCTCAATTACTTCATAATCAAGGCTTTCAACATTCCCGCCATCGCTGGTGCTCAATAGCGTAGCTCCATCGACCTCCCCGTCCTCCGAGTTAGGTATCCGAGACCATAACTGATTAGCGGTCTCAATCCCATTCTGCAAATGATTCGACAACATCACCAGAAGATTCTTCCCCTCCTCCGCTCCCTGACCTCAAACCCTAAGCAGGCAGCAGAGAGGAACTCCGGAGTTAGAGAATCCAACCCCAGAATTCTGCAAAGAGAATCCGGATAGAAGCGGAACAGATCACGGCGCCAAAATGAATCCCCGAACTAGTATCAGTTATCGAGAGCCACGGAAGGAATTGATGCAGTGACTCCGCCGGAACACGTCTCCGTCGTCCGTCCGAGTCGTCTCTCTCTCTCTCTTTCCGGTGGTTTTAACTTTCACCTTTTTCACCTCTCCCGCTGGAGTTTGCTTAGCTCCGTCGCTTTTTCGGTAATAGTGAAATTTGACTCTTCGCGAAGTCTCGAAGCTGAATTCTGACGGGGCGTTTGTTTCCTTGCCTGCTTTCATCATATTCTTCGGGTTGGACCCCGGGCGTTTGATCAGGTGCTACGCGGGTGTATGGTAGGATGGCTGAGGATTAGAGGCTTGGTTGGATCTGGGCCGTTGGATGTAGTTGATCATTGATAAAGTGACGTGATGACGGAATTTGTTAGGTGTGTTGGCCTGAGCGACGGGTGGAGTGCCAAGTAGGAGATTGATAAGGACTGTTTCGGGGAACAGAGAGAGCGACGCGCAGGGAATGTGTTGGTCCCGTAACTGCAACTGTGCGTTTTAAGGAAAGAAAAATTGTTAAATTACTCGTCACCAAGGGAGTTACTCGGAGTTGTATGACAAGACACGTGGAGAATCGGACAGCAGTTAAAAATGGTATACTAATACTATATAGCTTCTAATGAGCTACTGAAAGTCTCAACGAGATCTGTCAACAAATTAAAAAAGGGACAAGTTACCATGCTAACTCCATAAGGGTTAGTATCGTACTAACCATTCTAATAATTATTTATTATATTTAATTAAATCTGATGGTGAAAAGTAATGAGGGTATATTTGGTATTTTGACAAATTAGATTTAATAAATAAATTACATTTTATAATATTTATTCCGTCTCTTTAATGAGGCATTTTTATAAGGAAAAATTACTACTACAAAAAATATACAACCACAACCATTTATCTTAGTAGCGATTTTGGTGACTTATAATAGTAGTTGTTTTGGTGGCTATAGTAGTGTTTTTATAGGTTTACCGTAGCTATTTTAATTTGACTAATAATGTTTTTTTGCTAATTTTTAAGTAGCAGTGGTTGTTGAATATTATGATGAGTCACTTCTTAAAAATAGCAGTGTATAGGAATTTATCTGGTAGTAGTTACCCAAGAACCACTACAATACCATATAAGATCGGTAAAATCGCTACTAATATAACTCATTATTATTCAGAATCATTACCATAAATCTAAAAACATTATTACAGATATGGAAAATTACTACTGTAACAGCTCTCTTTGTGACTAGATTTGATTGGGAGATCTGGACATCCGCCAACGTAGAGAGATATTGGAGTAGAAGAGATTGATGCGGCGGCATTACAGCGGCGACATCACGGCGGCGTTGTAGAGATCCGCCAACGTTGTAGAGATCCGCCAACTTCGACGGTTGAAAGAGATAGGACGGGCGTGACGACGGTGTTGTCGAGGCGTTGGTGGGGCAGATCTGGTAATCAAGGGCGAGTCCGGCTACGGGCGATAGCGGCGCAGGCGATGGCGAGTCCGGCACGGGGGATGGCGGTGTGGGCGATGGCGAGTCCAACACGGGCGATGGCGAGTCCGGCACGGGCAATGGCGTCACGGCGGATATGGAAGAGGCAGGGGAAGAGACGGTTTCGGATGGGAGAAGTAACAGACGTGGGCGGCCGAGTGAGATGTGGGAGTTAAAAGGTGTATTTATATTAGAGTTTAAAAATATATTGACTAAACTGCCCTCTATTTAATTCTGACCCTAGGATTAGTTTTTTAATCTAACGATAATTAACTTAGTTAGGATGGTGCTAACCCCTTAAGGGGTTAGCATCTAATCTCATCCAATTAAAAACAAGGGACACTTTAATTTATTCTCAAGCAAGAGCCAGAGAAGCTAGGACAAAGCAATGTATCGATTGATTTCACTTCTACATATTGTTTCAATTAATGAAGGCTCGGCCACTTAACATTTCGATACATGGGAATTACTCATATAAATAATCTTGGTTTCGGTTTCTGTATTGCGTCACAATGCTGATCTAGCAGGCGTTTCAGATACATCAAGCTCTTTATACATTTCTGTAATCGCACTCTGGAAATACGCCTTCGCTTGAGCTCTCTTTATCTGAAAAAACCAAGAGGTTGTAGTAGTAGTAGTCATCATCACAACCTTTCTTCAGCTTTATAACAAATCCTATAAAACACTCACCTTAAATGTTGGGGTGAGAAGTCCATTTTCCAGTGTAAACGGTTCCCCCACCAACGTCACAGCTTTCACAAACTCAAATCCTCGCAACTGCAACAATGGAGTGGAGAAATCGCATCAAGAATAAGGTTTGCAACAGTTGATGGCAAGTGCTACGATGGAACTTCCACTTACATGAGCTTCTCTTCCAATAGCATCCATGTCTGCTAGAATAGTTGCTTTTGATCTTGGATCATTGCATAGTCTCTCCAAGTCGTTGTACTGAAATTCATCCCAAAGAATCAGTCTATTTCTAAAATGGAATTTTGAAGGAGAATACATATATCCTATCTAAAAGTCTAACCTTGATTCCTTGAGAGGCAGCCCAATCTGCCAACACATCATGATCAACCGCAACAACAGCAACCAAAGAAGAGCAGAAGCTATCGCCATAGACAAAGCACTGAACGATGAATCTGCATTTGGCATACACATTCTCTATCTTCTCGGGAGCAATGTACTCGCCTTGTGCTAGCTTGAAAATGTTCTTCTTCCTGTATACCAACCAATTAATACCAAGTCTTTAATTGTTTGCTTATTGTCTAAGGCATCATAAAAATAAATTGCTTGCAGTTCAAGTTTCAGGTTATAGCACCTATCGATGATCTTCAGGCGGCCTCCTGGTAGCCATAATCCGATGTCTCCAGTGTGCAGCCAACCTTCTCCGTCGATCACTTCTCTACTGAACAACATTCATCATCAAATTGCTAATTCAGTTGCCAAAGTTTGACAGCTTTAGAACCAATAATTGAGAATGGTCTTTGTAAGGCGCAAAAGTTTTACGTCTGAGTTTCATCTTTATAGTAGCCTTGGAATATGGTGGGACCCCTGACGCAGATTTCGCCACGTGGATATGGTCGATCCTGAGAAGTGTAGTTCATTTGTGGAACATCCTCGAGCTTCAATTCTAGAAAATAGACATACACAGCAAAATGAACTCTTGTTTCGTAATGAAAGAAGTATGTAGAGAGTACAGGTAATTACATCAGTATATAGTACTGCGTAGGAGCTCACCACAAGCTGGATTAGCAGAGCCGACGTGACCTACTTCCTTGTCACCTACCTCCATGACGCTAATGGCGCTTGAAGTTTCTGTCATCCCATATCCTTCAAGAACCTCACCACCAAAGCAGCTGCAAATTCATTGAGCAATTGTTCAAAAACTTTGTCGCAAGTTATTGGGACAAATTAGTTTTTCACATAATCAACCACTGAAACTTACATCTTCATGAACTCCATGACATCAGGAGATAATGGTGAAGCTCCTGAGACGATATACCGAACTCGTCCCCCGAGTTTCTCTCGAATCTTGTTGAACACCAATCTGTCCCACATCGGAGATGTGTTCTTGCCTGCAATGTTAAGACCACAACTTTAGAATCAGTGAAAACAGAAACTTCCTTGTTGTATGCCAATATATAATGTTCTTCAACTATCTAACCGTTCTGTAAGGCCTGCTTTTTGGCCTTGTATGCAGCATTGAACAACCTCTTCGTTAGTCCCCCAGAATTCTTCACGGTGTTGGTAATACTGCAAAACCAAATTACTTCAAGAGTCAATAATGGTATGATGAAGTAAAAAAAAGTAAGTTCAGTAGTAAGGAACAGTAAGCTTCACCCAGCATATATCCTATTATACAACCGAGGGACGCTGCAGAATATGGTAGGTCTAAGCGCAGCCAGATCGTCCATCAGTTTCAAGGTATCCTGCAAACATTGGGTTTTCCAATATGGTCACACTTTAAATATTCTAAGTCCAAAATCTGAATTATTGAGGAACAAAAATCTGTTCAGGCACATACCCCCTGGTAGAATCCAACAGCTACTCCGAAATACGCCATTATGACCTGACTTGCCCGCTCGTACATGTGCGCCAAAGGTAGATATGATATGTAGCTATTGGTAGAAAGGTCGTTTCAGCAAATGAGGCAGATAAGATATGTAGCTAGTTTTAGTGCAAGTGTTTTGTAAATTATATGGTTGCAACTTGCAACTCAAGTTCGTCTTTTTCTTGCGTAAAATAAGTTTCTTTTTTTATAACATATGGTACATTCTTTATGTCTATAACCTATAACTATTTCGTGTTCCAACGTACTGATTTTAAAAGATACACTAAACATCCTCCGCCGCTGTATTGATTGTATAGTTGTTGAGTAAAGATAAACTCACACATCTGTTGGGTAGAACTTGGTGGTCAACGTGGAGGCAGCTACATTAGCAATCACATTTTTATGGCTCAGTACAACCCCCTAGCAGAATGTATCGATCATCAACATCAATACGAATTACTACAACCATCTTAAATCTCAATCTCAAAGTGGTGATCATTAAAATCCTGAAGAAACACTAAAATGAACGAGTAATGCGGCAGTACCTTCGGTGTCCCTGTGGTGCCACTTGTATAGCATATTGTAGCAACATCTTCAGGTTTTGGAGGGCAAAAATGGTGAAGATTGTTGCGGCCCTAGAACAAGACACCCGTTAACATGAGAAAACAATGCTTAATTGGAACAATGAAAATTATGAGTGCAGATTAAACAAGTGATATGAACATTTCGGAACAAAACTATATATGAGTACCTGGGTGAGCAGTTTTGAGTAAGTTACAACTTGAACTCCAGTACTTGATGGTATAAGAGACGAAATTTGATCATCCATCCATCCAACAACCTGCTCCGTAGGACAAACACAAGTTCAAGAAATTTAATGGCAGTAAAAACCAATCAGACTGATCTTTTGATCATAGGTGCATGTCTATGCAAGAAAATCTTTACCACAATGACACGAACAGATGGAGTCTTGGACATAAAGCTCAGCAGCTGCAAGTTCAAAGTGATCAATAAGCATTTAGCGAGGAGAAAATTTCATACAATGTGCGATTTGTAAAAAAGAAACAGAGAGATCAGACTCACAGAATTCAGTGTTTCAGGCACACAGAAAATGGCTTGTAGAGCAGCATGGCTTACAATGTACTTGACAGCATCCGGGCCTGAAAGATAGAGAGGCGGAGAGAGTAATGAACTCATATCACCATCTGAAAAGGGGTACCAAATAACATTAAATTTTATCACTGGTGAGTAGAGGTGGCAATCTTAATCCAATCCACCAGTCCATTAAAAATATCCACCTAATCCAATCCATTTAAATCCAATCCATTTGATCCAAACGGAAAATTACGGTTTGGTACCTATACTTTTTACATTTTGGTAATTTTTATATGAAAATACCATTGGAAAATTACATTTTGGTACCTAAATTTTTTCATTATGACATTTTAGTACCTAAACTTTTCACATTTTACATATAGGCCCAAGGTTGAGGATGTCAATTGGATTCATGGATAATCCACCAATCCAATTGATCAAATCCATGAATCCAATCCATTTGATCCATGGATCCACCAATCCAATCTATGAATCCATGAATCCAATCCATTTGCCACCTCTACTGGTGAGGTTGTATGTTGAAGAACAACGAACCGAGAGTGTCGTATAAGGGAACTGATACATAAGAGTATGCAGAGCAGGCATGGTCAACGATGAGCCATTCCGGTCTGTTGATGAAGTACAATCCAACATGAGCACCCTATGGTAACAAAGATGTTGAACAACAAGCATTAGAAGTGGTGACGATGATGGTAATAAGTTTTTACCTACACACCAATTTCACCTTCTTGATTCCATGATACATTAGGCCGGACCCTATAGATGTTCTTGTCGTGCCTGCTTCTCCATATGTCATCCATTTGTACCTGCAGAAACCGAGATTAGAGTTCCCCCATCAACAAGCTTCACTAATTTAATATAGAGGTTGCTTACTCTCCAATAGTTCCATCGTCTCGAATTCGTGTCCCGAGATACTTGTGATCTTGAAATGTATCCACTGCGTGCCTACACAGTCATGAATTTTCTTTAAAGTTGTTAGGTTGCTTTATATACATGGCTTCCATCAACGAGTTAGGCAACTAATTCATCACGGAGGCAAGTAAAACAAGGGCAGAGCTAGAATTTAATGTTGTCCAGTTGGGGACGAAGGATTTTTCTTTCGTATTGATTAGAAGGACAGAGTTTGAGGAAAAGATAATTTGTTAAGAAAACAGAAAATAATGAGGAATTTAGAAATATATGATGTCTATTAATTATTTCTAAATTCTATATTTGCATGTTTTTTAAATCCTTGATGCTTAAAATATTAAAAAAAAAATTAGGCTTTCCAAATATAGGGTTGTGTTAAAATCCTGGATGGTGAGAGATTGTGACAAAGTCGTGTACCACAATCCCCATCCAAATGACTCATTTACAAAGTTGTCAAACAGGTTTATATCGTTGTGCCGGTTTGGCAAGTGGAATGGTACGACCAGTGGTATAACCAGTTTGTGCCGGTTTAAAAAAATGTGAAAACAATTAATATCCAATGTATCTAATTATAAAACATATTTGTCGACAATTTAGTTACAATCCAACAAATATCATCAACTTTTAACTATTACATTCATAAAATGAATAATATATTAATTTTTTTATTCATTAAATTCATTAAAATGATGTCATTTTACTTAAAATGGTTAAGTCGATCATACCGGTGGTGTCATGGCGGTTTCATGACCGGCACCGGTTCAACCGGGTGGCATGCTACCGACATGACAACCATGCTCATTTATGTATTTTCGCGAAAATAATAAAATTAAAGTAAAATATCAATATCATTAATAATATAAAAATACCATTTCTTTACTATTTTAACTGAATTTTTTTCCCCCGGATAATTAGAATCATTCGAATCTAAACTAAAAATCGGCGGCTGTAACTCTGTCCCTGAAGTAAAGAATGATCCTTCTTACACGAAATTATCATGCAATGTGCCGATTTCGGGGTGATTAGGGAATCTTGATACAAGCTTCAAAGGGGACCTTGCAGATCTGCCACAACACAGAAAAACAACTCGATTCAACACTAACAACGCAGACAGTTCCCCTACACAAGAATGTGCATTTACCTGAAGACATTCCACTTGCCAGTCTGCAGTTTCTCAGGAAGCACTACACTGTATCCCTGCTCTGTTATTAACGGAACCACCATTGTTACCAATATTCAAGATAAGAAAAAACTCGGCAAATGGAAGAAAGATGGCTCCTTTTTAGCAGATTATGGGGCAGAAGAAAAAAAAAAGATTCATCCCCAACAAACCCAGAAATGAACACCGCCAAAATTTTTTTTTTGTCACAATACCTGAGAAAAACTCGCCGGCGGTGGGGCTCCGTACCAGCTGAGCCGTCGTCCTCGACGAAGAATCTCCGGTGAGGTGATCGTGAATCGCCCTCATGCGATGCTGGGCAGCCGCCGTCCTCCCTTCCTCCATGTTTCCTCTGTTTCACTCACTCGTCAGTAGCTCGAAGAATTAAGGACTCTGTTTCGGCTGAATGCAGAGTAATTACATAAAGTTTGAGATCCTTTTTCCCTTTCAGCTCTTGCCCCTTTATGGTGGTGGGTCAAACAAAGCGAGGGAAGACGGCACGCTTCTCAAGCTATGATTCCGTTGGAAGGATCAGAGAGATTGAGATCAATAGAACACTCTCTGTTGGTTGGTTGACTTACTCTGCTTCTTCTTCTTGGGTTCGATTGTCGTATCGAAGTTAAGTTGGAACGCTATTTTGATTGGATTTGGCTGCGTGACAACAAATTTATTGAAAGAGGTTAGTTGTTAATAATATGATTAAGTATTACTATGGTAATTAGGGAATCTTGTTGGCGGCTAGAGGGATAGTGGCCATGAGTGAGAGAGAGAGACGGCCGGGGAGAACTAGTAATCACTAGTTATTTGGCGAAACAAGTTAATATATTAGAGATTCATGCTCTTAATTCTTAACATCCAATAATAGGCAGGAACCTAGTTGAACATTGTTATAAGGCCCCCAAAGTTACATGCCATAGCTTGAATTAGATGTGACAGGGATGTAATTAGATTAGCGCAATCCATTTCTTTTCAGGGAAGGCTTTGCTTAGTGCCCAGATAGGCACGGGAAAGATGGCTCAGATGAGGAAGAGCACACTAGGCTTTGGTAGAGTCCTCCAATCCCAAAGAGGCGGTGTGGTCCGATCAAACCCCTAATGATGGATGCACCAAACATGACTCTGTACTTGGAGCAATCTAGATGGGTATCTTCAATGTCGCAAATGTCGTGGATACTTCCGAGCATCCACCCTGACATGTCAGGTTCACGTTGGCTGATACTAGCATTACGACGAGTTGATCATGGCAAAATGAAGCAGAAATGAGCTGATCGTAGTATGATCGAACGAGAAAATCCAATCATTAGGAGACAGTACAGTACCTAGCCGTGTACAGGCACCTAGGTGGAATCTTCATGTAGTGACCAAGTTTGAGGTCTGACAAGAAAGACAAAGCATAAACTGTACTGACACTCCCGTATATCTTGAACAACAAATTAGCCATTTGGCTTCCCTGGCAAGACGTAGCCGAATATGAAGTGGGATATGATGTCATAGCCTGGTTGCTAGAACCTTCCTCGTTGGAGAAACACGTTCAATGAATTATACCACACATATATAATATACTTGGTTGGTGGTTGCCTGAATGACACGTAGGGTGTTCAAACGAATTGGTTACCGTGGTAACCATATTAACTGATAGTATTCGGTTAATTTGGATAATTGGTTTGGTTTGGTTAAACAACTTAGTTTATTTGGTTTATGTGGTTTGGTTTGGTTTCAACATTGCTAACCAATGAAACCAATTAACCAATTAATGATACACCTAATATACAAAATTATTTATACTTCCATGCAACCAACCAAACCAAACTTTCATGATTCCCTATTTCATTTTCATGTGCACAACAAACCAAAGCATTGTGGGTCAAAAATTAAATGGACATGCCTATTTAAACCAAAACATTTTGGATAGCTACTAGACTGTAGGATTGCGTACAATATCATGACAACCATCTCAAACTATGTATAGTTTAAGTGTTTTGTAGGAGAGCTTTAACTTCTTGATGAGTGGTATTGGTATGTATTTAATATTTATTTTAAGGGTTTGATGTAAGCTAACTATATTAGGTGTAGAGATGATGAATGATGTATTAACTCGAATGATGATGATAATCATGGATATTAGTCTTATTATTATTGCTTATATATAATGATAGTTTATGATATCATATGATTATATTTTATTCATTTACAGGATAATTGTTTTCATGTAATGTTATGTTATTTGGTTAATCCGATTATTCGATTAACCAAACCAATTAAACTTTGGTTTGGTTAATTTGGTTTTTGTGTTAATTCGGATGGTTTGGTTAAGACATTTTATTCCATGGTTAATGAAATTTAGGCTTAATTGGTTTGGTTATTACCATGGTAACCATTTGAACACCCCTAATGACACCAATGGGTTGCCTGAATGTCGCTCTCGATTTACTCATATGTTGATGGAAAATTTAATTTTATAATTCTATGCATACTATTTCTTTGGTCCGCGCTTTGCGACGGTAAAACGTTAACTACATGTAAAATTTCATCCCTTCATTTAACGATTTAGTTGAACTAAAATATTTCGCAAAATATTTCGCGTATAATATTTTTATAAAGTTTTTTTAATTGATACATAAGAAATAAATATTTTTTTGTAGATTTTATGTAATGTATTTGTAATTTACGTAATTGTAATCAAACAGTGTTGCGTAAATTTTTCGTAATATGTGCTCTAATAATAAAATTAAATGATTACACTATTATGTAAAATTAAATTATACTTATGCAACCGTTATATAATGAAAATTGATGAGATGTGAATATTGTAGGTAATCATAAATAAACTTTATTGAATAGTAAATTATTTATGTTAAGAAATATCACATTTGATTAAACTGTTATGCAAAACTAACTGACCTTACAAAAATTCATACAATGCCAATTGATGAGATGGTCAATAGTATAATTAAAAATTTAAGAATTTTTAACTAGCTTATATTAAAGAAGATTTACGCATTATGTGTATTTAATTGATACATATGAAATTAATATCTCTCTATAAGCTTTGCGCAGTATCTCAGACAATGGGAAGGCTTATGTAATGCATTATGTTTAATTGATACATAAAGCATAATGATTCATTTATAAATTTTACATAATGCATTTATAATTTATGTAATTATTATACAATAATGTTACGTTATGCAAATAATAAAATCAATTTATAAAAAAAAGATTACATTCAATTAATTTATATTATAAATCTGATGACAACATTGTAGTTAATATTACAATCGACAGTAAAATGGTTTTTTAGTTCTTATTTGACTCTCCAAGAGATGGGCTATTGGTGAGGAAAGTGGAGGGGTTTTTATATGCAGTTTGAGAAAGGCATTCGAAGAGAATATGAAGATCCATTGACACAATTTTGGGATAACAATGTCATCCTAGCGCTACCCTGAAACAGTTAAATAAACCCAAAAATTGGATCACTTTAGCATCACACTTTAGTTAACCCGCTCATCCTAGAGCACTTCTACTATGCTATATAGTATTGGTGCTTTAATGTACCATTTGAAGTTGTATCATAACATTAAATGTATAAATTTAGGTTGTACCATAAAAGAATATGTATTATTATGTTATGGTACAACTTTACAACTTGAAGTTGTACCATCACATAAAGTACGAGTTTAAGTTGTACCATAAAAAATTTGTACAAAAAGTATAGGTACAATCTGAAGTTGTACCATAACATTAAAAGTACAATTTCAAGTTGTACCATAAATGTAAAAACCTATAGCACCAATATTATATAGCATTATAAAAAAAAAAATTCATCCTAATGTGCCACCAAGTGTCATCCTTTGGCTGAAATGTGTTTTTCCGCCTCAACAGAGGAGAAATGTGGTTGCATGCCGTTTTTCTTTCTGTAATTGGAATGGAGGGGAGAAGAGGGGGCTGACGGGAAGAGGGTCGGGCGGATAGGATTTTCGTATTCAGGAGAGAAGAGGGGTGGGTGGAAGGACGAGAGAGGAGGAGTCGACTGGATGAAAGAGAGAGGATCAGGTGCATGCGGGTTTTTTGTGAGCTCATGCTTCTTGCAAACTAATAAGCCCATCAATGTTCATGTTTGGCTAGCCCAACATAAGTATCCATGACCATGAGCTTCACGTGTATTTGACCGCAGGGAATCACAATATCCTATTCGTGAACAATAGTTTGCGAATTTTTCGTAATGAATAGTGTTTTTCGGTTTTTGGTAATTTTTGCCTACTTGTGGTTTAATAATTCTATGCATATATTTTCAATTATGGGCTGTCAGCCCTCAAAAGTTTGGTGGTCTCGGGTACTCAACGACGTATGTGGGGGAAGTTCTCTCTATCTCAGGTAACTCACATCCTAAGCTGACTCAAGCCCAACTTCCGATCCAGTTCAACTTTGATTCGCTGAACCTGAATGAACTCTTCGACAAAAAGAATGTAGCAAAGGAATCCTCATAGGGGCGAGTGGTCAACTCGTTCGAGGAGCTGGAACCGCAAAGGTGGAGAGTTATACCTTAATATTGTTTTCATTACGACTCGTAACATTTTATATATGAACATTTTATGTTATGTATAACGAATTACTATATGTAACAAATTTATTTTATATAACAATTATGTTATATAGAATTCTAAAATATAACATATATGTCAAACATGATGCATGTATACAACTATATTTAATTAAAGATATAATTTCTTTAATGTTCCTTTTTCATATACAACTATATTTAATTAAAGATATAATTTCTTTAATGTAACTTTTTTCTTAAATTGTACTTATTTTATCATATTGCAAGCATTACAATATATGTAACCATATAAGATGATGTGTATATGCTACTCCAGCTCTTATCAATCGATTTCACTGTTTTAAGGGAAACAAGATGGTTAAGTATGTTTATGTTTTGTTCTTTCCATATTCTTTCTCGTGTCATATTAGAAACGAAGAATTTTCAATGTTGTTGAAGTCCACACTCTGACTCAGGTGCTATAATTGTTGTCGTTGTGCAGGAATTAACTTCAAGGGTTGTTTAAGTTCTTTTCTTTCAGATTCATTGGGCTTGCTTTGAGTGGTTCTTTCATATTCCAATCTGCAGTAGTAGCAGATGCACTCAGATATACCAATTTGTAATCAATTATCAACACCTGAAAAAATAAAGTTCTATATGATGAATAAAGCACCAATTTGGAGCCATACATCAATGATAAGTGAATCTATCTCTTAGGATGTTTACCTTCCTCAGAGGAACAAGACCAAACAACCCAACGAAATTGCTCGCAAAAAGAAAACCTATCATCCAAATAACAACGGACTCTTTATGTTCATTTGATTGTTTCCCTCTGAATTTGTCTCATACTGTTCATAGGTCTTCTTATTCATTCCCAGTAGATAAGACCCAAATCTGCTTGCAGTCAAACAACAGAAAGGACTGCAAGTTTCAATTTAATATTTAATACATACACCAAGAAGCAACAAACTTTGAAGACGTTCAATATTCTAACATGCAAAAGCCAAGCTATAACAAGCTACAACACACGTCTGAATCAAGGTGTTCTCTTGTTTGATGAAGGGTTTGGAGACAAACCTAGTTTTTGCCAATAGCATGGTCCATGTCTTGACAAACACAAAGCCAACCAGGGCAGCACAAATGTTGAAATTTGGGACTAGGCCAGTTTTCAGGGCCAGCTTCATCACCATGATGTTGTAGATAACCCCGATGACAATGCTGGCCACAAGTCCTTTGACGTTGGCGTGCTTCATCCATGTCCTCACTTCCTCGTCTTCTTCCTATCCTGTTGGAGGAGGAGCTTCATTTGAGATGTTCGTCTTCTGTACTTCCTCTTCCATCTCTTGTGTCTTCTCGGTCTCATGTGTTACCATCGTCCTTATTTCCTACATTTCCTCCTTATAACTGGTATGGTTCCTCATCTCTTGACCCATTCCCGCTCTTCTTCTTTTTGCTTGCAATAACGACACACCAATCAGTAACTCAATCAAGATAGAAATCAGACATGTTAAGTAATAGAAGCGTATTACCCGTAGCAAGAGGTATCTTTGGTTTTTCTCTGCTAGCTTGGATTCTTCTTCTTCTTCGTCATCGTTACTGTTTCATAGCAGAGTCACACCGTATCTCGAGCTTTTAAGGATATTGGAGGACTGCGGGAATAAAAAAAAACTATCGAGTTACACCGGAGTAGTGATACCTCTTTAATAATTTGGTAGTGATATACTAAGCAGATAGGCCACTCTGCTAGTCACGTAAGCAATTGTAATTGCAATATGCATGTATCTGCATTTCTGGTAATAGAATTAAGAAAGAATTTCAATTGGTATTAAGTTCTAAGAAAGGCTTCTTTAAGCTACATAATATTCCGTCTTTTTGGCACAACTGATAGAAGACTAATGCTGACCACAAGTCCTTTGATGGTGACATGCTTCGTCCATGGAGCACTCCTCCTCGCTTCTTCATCTACTTCCTCTCCTACGCGAGGAGGAGCTTCATTTGAGTTGTCGTCTCCTATATCTCCTCCTAATAACTATGTTAGTCTAATAGTTTTTTCAAGTCCTAAAAATCACCTTTATTAGAATTACTAAAGATGACAGAACAAATGTTAATAAAATTATCTTTATAAATATTGTTGATATAAACTACTTCGTTAGATTTTGATTTATTTGAAAATGTTGACTATAAACAAACATGTTTACATATGCTTTTTCTAGATTAAAAAAAATCTTTGCTAATTACTACAAGTTTCCATAACTTGTGTTGAATCTTGGCTGATTTCTGCTAGTAACTAGCAAAGAGTTGGCTTTTATTATATAGCATTTCATGAATTAGAGTTCTTTTTTAGCATATCATTTCCATTCATTACGATATGCTCTCTCAACCACTCTGGTCTAACTCCTACATTCAATGGATCTGGTCCCGATGTCTGTCAGAATACGCAGTTGGCGGGTAAAGCCTTCTTCTTGCCACTGCTCGGTGCTCCCAAGGGTTTGAAAACCTCTCTTATATTGTAGAAGCCTTTGCATCTCACCTACATTGAGGCTTTTTCTCGCAAGGAGAGGAAATTGTCGTCGTCGTTTGTGTGCAAGGCTTATAAAGCAAAGCCGATTGACGCTAGCGAAGCGAAACCAGAGGCCGCGTCCTACGAGGAAGGCGAAGATCCGAATTTACTTTGCGACCTAGTAACTATTGACAGCGATTGGTTGTACATTAATTGAGATGGTAACTAAAGTACTATTATTTGTGGATATCATTGTATGCTCAAAATCTGATTAGATATGTACATAATTTTAATTTACTATTTTGTATATTATACGTGTATGGATATAAATACAATTTAAAATAATATAAAAAATATCTACTATCTGTCCTGATAATACCGGTGGCCATACCACTAACTAATTTATTTTATGAAAATCTTTAAAAGGAGTGTTAGATCTTTATTGCAAGAAGTAACTTTCTTTCGCTACAACATGAGTCCTTTTTTGTTTCCCACTTTTGTGAGCTAAATGCAATGCCCTAAACAAAACTTCATTAGTATTCATTTTTCCATTTCCATGTTACTTAAAAAGAAAATCAAGGGTTCATGAACTGGACTCTACTACTGAAATCTTTATCTATTGATTGAGAGCATTTTCCGATGCTTTATAGCATTAATGTTTCGATGTACAAATTGAATTTATATCACAATGTTAAAGGTACACATACAGTTTGTAACATAAGTGATTTTGTACTATAAAATTTTTTGTAAAGAAAATGCATACGTACAACTGTACAAGGGTTCTCTCCCTTCTCTCTTCTCTCGGGCGACTAGGGTTCTTCGATGTCCGCCTCGTCGTCGGCTGCTCCGGCTGGCGAGGGCAGTTCCTGGGCGCAATTGTTTGAGGTTGTCCCGGAGAATCGGCTCCAATTCCGGCCGCCGATCAAGTTTCAAGATGGATTTCATCTTTCGAAGGAGGTGAAGGAGAAAGGAGCGGAGCGGTGGAAGAATTCGCTTATCGGTCAGTTTGTTGGGACTAGACCGAAGATACCGGAGTTACAGACCTGGGCGAATGCGCTCTGGGGACGCGATGGTATCGTCAGAGTGTCGAAGTTCGGGAGCAAACTTCTGGTGTTCTAATTTCCTTCTGCTGCTGCGTGTAATTGGGTCTTCCAGTCAGGGCATTGACATTTCAGAGGTAATCCGATTTTCTTTCGGAAATGGAAAGCAGGTATTCAACCGATTGTCCCGAAGGTAGAGACACTGCCTATCTGGGTAAGGATTTGGGGACTACCCTTGGAGTACCTTGCACCTGAAGGGTTGGAATGGGTGACGAGCATGATAGGAAAGCCGCTTTGGATGGATCAGAAGACGAGGGTGGGAGGTCAGTTAGGGTTTGCTCGGGCTTGTGTGGAGCTCTCTGCTGATTACTCCTTTCCCTCTTCCATTAGGATCTATCCAGACGAGGATCCTTCATTTGAAATCAGAATTGAATATAGCAATCTTCCTAAGGGTTGTTCCAAGTGCAGTGTCTTCGGGCACAATTGTGAGGAGGGTCCTCAAAGGGTTTGGGTTCCAAAAACCAAGAGGGTTGAAAGCTCAGCGACACAGGGAAAAGATGACGAGGAGACTGGTTCAGTTGAGGAGTTGCTCAGGTAGGTGCAGGAGTCAGTCATTCAATGTGTTATGGAAAGCTTGGCTGATGAGGTAATTGAGAAGGAATCGACTGGGGGGATTCCCGAGCAAGTCCAAAATGTTGGGAACGAGGGTTCTAGTGCAACAGAGGGTAGTCCAGAAGTGATTGTTGAGAAAGCTGTCTCCCCTGCATCAAATGGGGGGGGGGTTCGAGTCAGTTTTGCTGAGGTAGTGAAGGGGTCATCAACTACTGCTGGGAGCCCTAACACTCCTCAGCAATTATCTGTTGGTGGTCAGTCATCTTCTGTGGAAGGGATCTCACCACCTCAGATGACTACTCGGACCACTCAGACTGGTTCCCGTTTTGCTATTCTGGATAAAGAGAACAGAACTCCTTTGAATGCTCCTGATAAGGGTAAGAAGATTTGGATTGAGCCTCTTGATGTACAAGTAAACAAGAGAAAAGGAGGGAAAGGTGGAGGGAGGGGAAGGGGTCGTAAATGAAAATCCTCTCCTGGAACACAAGAGGGTTTGTTGCGGAGAAAAAATATACTGCTATACTAAATAAAGTAAATAAAGATAGGTTAGATATTATAGCTATACTGGAGCCTCGGTTGAGTAGAACGTAAGCAAATAAATTGAAGGGTAAGAGATTTGTTGGTTGGGGTCAGGAAGTCTTCTTTAATAGTGAAGGTTTGGGCAAGATCTAGCTAGTGTGGCAACCGGAGATTCAGATGACAATCTTAGACAGCTCTGATCAGTTTGTACATGTGTTGATTGGTGGTAAGGCCCCATTCTTTGCTACGTTTGTTTATGCTTCAAATAGTGAGGGTCAGAGGGAAGCTCTATATGCTGCTATTTCTAGATTAAAAGTAGTAAACTTCCCCTGGTTACTAGTTGGGGACTACAATGCTATTCGAAATCCAAGTGAAGGTTCTAATGCTCCCCAGTTCTCTACTAGTATGAGGGCTTTTAATGAATGGTTAAGGGGACATGGAGGTCGAAGAGCACAAGTCTACAGGGCCGTGGTTCACTTGGCTCAACAAGAGGCAAGGAGATCCTATTGCTAGAAGATTAGACAAGGTATTTGTTAATGTGGAGTGGTTGGATGTGATGAAACACAGTGTTGTGCACACTCAGTCCCCAGGGGTCTCAGATCACTGTCATGTGCTTATTCAAACTGAATTGCCATTGAAATCTCTGCCTAAGCCGTTTAAATTCTTTAACTTCTGGCTTGAGCACCCAATGTTTGCAGAGCTGCTTAGCCAGGCATGGAAGGAAGTGGTGACAGGTTCTCCTCTGATCAGGGTTTACAAAAAGCTAAGGATTCTGAAAGGTTTGCTTAAGAAACTTAATAGAGAGGAATTCTCTGATATTAGGGGACGAGTGAAGGACAAGGAAAGAGAGTTGGAATCAGTTCAAGTGTCTGCCCTTACCAACCCCTCTCAAGGGAGCTTTGAGACTGAAGTCAGAGTTTCTAAAGAACTCTTTGAGCTGCTTAAGGCCGAGGAAACTTTTCTGAGGCAGAAGTCAAGAGAGTTGTGGCTAAAGCTAGGAGACTCCAACTCAGGATATTTTCACAGGTCTATGAGAACTAGACTAAAGAGAAACACTATAACTTCTCTTAAAGATGCTCAAGGTAACACAGTTGATTCAGTTGAAGGCATGTGTAATGTGGCTATTGACTTCTATAAAAACCTGCTGGGAAAGGAAAATCCACATGTAGTGATTGAGTCAGTTGAGTTTTTTCAGGGTATTCTCAGACATAAGCTCAATTCTGAGCAAGTCTCTTCTGTTTGTGCTCCTATCACTGCTGCTGAAGTCAAAGAAGTTATGTTTGGATTTAATGGAGACAAGAGTCCTGGGCCAGATGGATTTACTGCTAGATTCTTTCAGGCTACTTGGGATGTTGTTGGCGCAGAAATCACAAAGGCCATTCAGAACTGTTTTGTGACAGGGAATCTTCCAAGAGAGGTAAATTCTACAATTCTAGCTCTGATCCCTAAAATTCAAACCCCTGATGAGATGAAGTTTTTCAGGCCAATTTCTTGTTGCAATATAGTTTATAAATGCATTTCCAAGATTTTGGCAAATAGGTTCAGTCCTCTTCTCCCTTTTGTTATCAGTAAAAACCAGACA